TTTAGTAAATTTTTCATTGACGGTATACCTAATCGTAGAGTTAAGACTGGCATGCTGCGTATAGACCCCATAGATCCCAACAAAACAGTTCAACGAAGGCCCTATAGGCTATCCCCTGCCGAAAAAGATATTGTCCGTGAAAAAATAAAATCTCTACTCGACGCCGGCGTCATTAGAGAGAGCAATTCACCCTTTGCTAGCCCCATCCTCTTAGTGAAAAAGAAGGACAACACGGACAGGATGTGTGTGGACTATAGGGAACTTAACGCTAATACGAAACCAGAGCATTACCCATTACCTATAATTGACGAACAGATCGACAGACTGAACGGAGCTCATACATTTTCCTCGTTAGATATGGCATCTGGGTACCACCAGATCCCCATAGATCCTGAAGGTGACAGCATCGCGCGTACTGCCTTTGTTACACCAGAGGGCCAGTACGAATATTTGACTATGCCGTTTGGCTTAAAGAATGCAGCCTCTGTTTATCAGCGGTGTATCAATAAGGCGCTTGGTTCCCTTAAGGATGACGTGGTACTAGCATACATGGACGATGTCCTCTGTTTTTCCAAAGATGTTCCTGAGGGTTTGATTCGTCTTGAATTAACAAGCGATTTAAGCTTCCTATAGAATTACACACTGATGCGAGGGCCGACGGTTATGGCGCCATTCTTATTCAAAGAAAGAACGGTAGTCCCCATGTTATCTCTTATTTTAGCCGCCGAACGACTGACACAGAATCAAGGTATCATTCGTACGAGCTAGAAACTCTGGCAGTCGTTCGTGCAGTAGAAAATTTTAGGCATTATTTATACGGTCAGCACTTTACTGTATTTACAGATTGTAATTCCCTAAAAGCATCAAAGTCAAAAAGAGATTTAACACCTAGGGTACATCGTTGGTGGGCTTTTCTACAAGCTTACGATTTCGATATTATTCATAAACAAGGCAGCAGCATGGAACACGCTGACTACCTATCTCGAAATCCTCTTTCAGAACCAGTACCAAGCACTTCAAACAACGTCGAATCCTTAGTTCCAATATCGTTCAAATCTGTTCACTTTGTAGAATTACACCAAGGGTGGCTGGCCGTAGAACAAAAGCGTGACGCATATATACAAGATCTTATTAGAAAACATCTTAATAATGAACTCCCTGATTCGATCAGTCACACTTATGATGTTAGGAATGACGTTCTCTACAGAAAGGTGGAACGTAATAAAATCAGTCGCTGGCTACCCATTGTACCTAATTCACTCGTTTGGACTTTGATCAACCATATTCATACTGAAATCAAACATTTAGGTGCAGAAAAGACACTTGACAAACTATATGAGCAGTATTGGTTTCCCCAAATGGCTAAGCAGGTACGATTGTTCGTTGATGAATGTATCGTTTGTAAAACATCGAAAGGTCCCTCCGGAGCCCAACAAGTTCGTTTACACCCAATACCTAAAGTAGCATCACCCTGGCACACCATCCATATAGACTTAACTGGTAAGCTGAGCGGCAAAAGCGATAGAAAAGAATATGCTTCAGTTATAATAGATTCTTTTACGAAGTACGTCCTCTTAGAACAGACTCCGTCTCTTGATGCTACGTGTGCTATTAAGGCACTAAGAAAAGCTGTTTGTCTTTTTGGCGCTCCAAAGCGAATAATATCAGACCAGGGTAGATGTTATATAAGCTCAGATTTTAAAGAATTCTGTAGCACTCACGGAATAGAACTCCACCTTATAGCGACTGGTGCCAGTAGAGCCAATGGACAAGTAGAGAGAGTAATGCGAACTTTGAAGTGCTTATTAACTATTATAGAAAATGATCCCCATAAGACGTGGCAGGATGAACTCCCAGAAGTCCCATTGGCCCTTAACACCACTCGTTGTAGGGTAACGGGATTCACTCCTATGGAATTAATGTTCGGCATACGGGCACAATCACTAGGTTTAGCAGCAATATCCCCGAATAATGACGAACCTAGACTAGACCTAGAAACTATTAGGAAAGAGGCATCGACGAGCATTCAAGGCGCGGCTCAGAACGAAATAGTCCGATTTAATAAAGGCAAGGCACGAGTGAAGCCTTTGTCACAAGGCGATTATGTTTTTGTCAAATGTAGTGAGCGTAATCAGACGAAACTTCAAAGAAAGTTTAGAGGTCCTTTTCGTATAATAAATGTCCTAGATAACGATAGGTACGAACTCAAGCACATTGATGGCTCTAACCGCACTTTAAAATATTCTCATGAGAGTTTGCGTGTAGTACCCAGGGGCTTTGAGGGGTTGGTTGAGATAGCCAGTGTACTAAATGATCGCGATTCCGAGACGGCGGCTCATGGTCGGGAGGATGGGGACACTGTCTCATCAGACGATGAAAGTGACACTCTCTCGGTAACAAGTACCCGCACCATGACTGCCAGTTCATTAACTATGTCAGCTTCTGAGTCGGAAGATGTTTAGACTTGTAAGTAAGACTGCGTACTGCTTGTGTGTGAAAAGATTGACTTGTGGTCAAAGTCCTTTTGTATAATCATGTGTGTCATAGCGTGAAGGGGCTGGCTCACAGGAGTTCACGTCCGGGCCATGCTAAGACAAAATAGTGAAGATGAAGGGACTAGCTCATTGGAGTCTACGTCCGGGCCATCGTTCACTCGTGTGTATTGGTGTGGTAGCAAGTCTATTTTTACAAGAGGAAAGTATGTGTAAGACAGCGTAGACTTTATACAACAGAATAGGTTGACTATTTAAGTCAGAGATGGACGAGCTCTGTGTCTCTCAGATAATCTTTCATCTTTTCAGGTATGACATCCGAACCGCGACGTCATTAAAGCGCACAGGGACGTGCGTACGTCAGTATGGCCGTGACGGCGCCTCGGTATTTATCGTTATTGTATTGGAGTTATCTACGGGCATAGACTATGGATCATAGTGAATCGAATGTCACTGTCAGTTCAGTGACAGCTCGATTGACGTAACTCAGTTGGCTGGTCACATAGCGCCCGCGCGTTCACCGATCATAATCGGTTTGCACCCGGTGCATGTGCCACGCTTTCTGCGGAACGTCTTGATTTTATAATTGTGCGTTACGTTAACTTTATAATTGTACTTAGATTTCAAGAATAAGTGAGTGCGTTGTTCTTAAATTGTAACAGTGAAATAGATCGGTGATTATTCTTTGATATTGGATTATTTCTCCTCGCCCGTTAATCCACGCCACCTCTAAGCACCAATGGAGGGCACCGGCAATCCTGGCAATACCCACGTGCCTACATATATAATAAATAAAGAATGCCAGCTAATATTGACTTAATATATATTTACAAACAAAATAGAACACATGAGTACAAACAACGTATCTAAGCAAGTAACAACCAAAAACTTGAAGTGCATGTCAGTCAGTATATTCAAATAATTCTGACAACCACAAACCATACGAATAACAGCAATGAGATTACACGCAAATATAAACTCCTAGCAATTTGTCGCTCTAACAGAAATTACCAACAATATTCCAAATTAGCATCCTTTCCTCTATCGTGACGTCACATCCAGCGTTCGAAAATAGGGCGCGTTTAAACTGCCCGTGCAAAGTGGCTATTTAAAACTTTTTTTTTAAACACTTTATACTATTTTTTCGTCGTCGACTTTTCATACTGTATAAAGGGGATGTAAAATACTAAATAAAAAAAATGCATTTTCCCTATTGCAGGAGTTGAAAGTTAAATTCCGATCCGAGATCATTTCGGAGGAAGAACCAAACTAGCCTCTAACAATCTCGGGAAGTTCAATAGAGGGCAAGACAGTACTTCAAGTTTTAACACCGGTTGTTGTTTTACAAAGCACAAGGCCGGCCGCTTTAGTATTGTTTTTACATTCCAGCGCGTTAGGACTGGACTGGAGCACTAAATGACACTGCGTGCCGTTTTAGTTTTAGGCTTGGCGCAGCGGGAGAGGCGCGGCGAAGATACTGAGAAGTTAAAAAATTCAGTAAACCAATTCGTATGTGATGAGTTCAAAAATTTCATAGCAAACATGAAACAATACACATGCGGCGTACAGCGCTGAGAAGCGGCTACGAGCCGGCGCGCGACTACTCCGCTCATGCTTCGTTTATGCTTCGTTCCGTGGGTCTTGGCCTCGCTCGGAGTCGCCGCGCGTATTTTTTTCACCGCCTCTCTCCCGGTGTACCCTGCCCCTTCAAGGTCCAACTTATATTTTTTTTCTGTATTTTAACCTTCAAGTGAACAGTCAGGTGCAGTCAAGGGTACACGCTACTCCAAACGCGAACTTTGACAGATGCGTGTTCGTATCTCCAGCGTCCAGGTTTCTATGGAGACTAAGCAGCACCCCAACTGGACGTAAGAACAAACTAGCTTTTTCCATAGAAACTTTCAGGTTACGATACGAATACTTTCTCGCTAGTTGTTCGTGCTTGGGGTACAGAATGTTGGTGTCGTGAAGTAGGGCTGTCGAATGAATTATGAACTCTGCAAATAAGTACCTACCTTATATTCCGGTGCTGGTGTGGCCATTTGCCTGTTTAAGTGTTAGGTACACAAATAGAGATACGGATATGGCGTCCACACGGACGGTTGATAATATTTCAACGTCCCTTATTTCCACTGGTTCTGTTGATCAGTTCTATTAACCGAACTAATGGGAAATTTACGTGCCACTAGTACCTACTGTGAATAAAAGAGGTAGTTAAAAAAGTAATAAATGTTTTTATTATCCTTGGAATAAATGATCTCTGGTAACAAACAGTTGTGGACTTCAGTGCTTCCAGGTACATCTAGTTTTGTGTAGTTTTTAATAGTTTTGATTCATTTATATCAACATTGAAAGTATTAATCACAACGATATTAACTTGCTAAGTTATTCACAGAACTAGTGGGACTAGTGGAACATATTATGCAGGACAAAGGCATCCGATCTAGGCACTATTAGGGACACTATTCTTGATTGTTCCTTCCCTCCTTTACAAAAAAAAACAAACTATTCAACACTAGTTTTTTATTTCGTTCTCATAAAACATCACCATAACTTAAAAACAGCTAAACATAAATAAGCATGTAATTATTTACATACAAAAGCATGGTCAAAATTCCCTACATTTATATTATTACACGCTATAGTTGTATATCACATAGAATTTACATCCTCATTTGCTATAAATGACAAAAAAATCGGTGCTCGAAATTTGATATTGAATAAATTATCGCTCGAGCTTATGAGGTCGTACTCTTCCCATGAACTCTTGACGTGTTAACACAACCCAAAACAAATGCAGCGATAATAAATCGATCAAGTGACATTGGTACGGTCTTTGGTGCCTATTATCTAGCTAACTACGTAGTACCTACTTGAATTCTCATTAGTTCGATCGTCGAACTACCTACTGTTTTTTTGCTTATTTGTTCTAACGTCGAATTACTATATTATTGTTATTTGTTTGACTCGAACTTAGAGATATAAAAACCAATAAAAGTTTTAATAATGTCTCTTTACTACGGGTGTATTGTATATCCCCTTGTCATTCTTGCATACAATTCATATACATTTATTTTATTAAACCATTTTTGAAAAAAAAAGTACCAGAAGACCAAACATAACTAAGTTCTGGTAATGAAAATTGATAAATAAAAGAAATAAGTTTAACGACATTCGAACAAATGAGAACAATAAAGTCTCAGTACTTCGACGGTTGAACAAATGAGAAAAAAATCTCACTAGTTGGACGATCGACTAATGAATCGCACTAATGACAATATAATAATTTTCGATCGGTACCGCCTGCTCCTCTGATAACTCTTTGAGCGGGTAAAGATATATAAAATATCTGACGCACAATAGTGCGTTCATGACCTTCGATAATGTTAATTTTAAGTAAGTACATAATGCTATTAATTAAAACTATTTCTAAATGTATAACTAAGTACCTATTAAGATAGCAACATAGAAGGACCTGTGAACAACAACTAAAAGTAATTTTTAATTGGTTGCTTGTGACCTGTTAAAATGAGATTTTTACCAAAAATGTATTTTACGACGTACTTAGACCTACTAGCATAAATGAGCTATTATTGTGTAAGCTTTAATTATTTGGGGAAATTGAAATAAAATTGTAACTTTGTAATAACAAAAGTTCGCAAACATAGTTTTGATTAAGCAATCATCTAATTTAACTACTACGTTTTAGAGCACTTGTTCAAGATTTCTAGTATAAATGCTCATTTGTATTTAAAGTACTTATAAGTAAAACAGAAACTAACTTGGTTGTGGTCTATCATGAAGATTTTAGGAACTGTGCGGCTGACAAAACTCTGAATAGGTATAGGCCAGGGATGGGCAAACTATACGGCCCTCGAATGGTAGAAATCCGACCCGCGACCATCAAACAAAAATCAATACAAACCAGAAAGTACCATTTTTGCACATATTCTGATAAGGACCACCCCGCTGCCGAACCTGCAAATCGTAAGTGGGCCGAACAAAAACTTGGCCCTCCATCGATTCTAATAGTAAATATTGGCACGATAAAGGAAAAGTTTGAACATCCCTGGTATTGGCCTAAGTATCTTTTTCACCAAAAAGGTTTCACGTCAGTACCTTTTTTTGGGATACTTGAAATCATGCCGCATAAGCATGGCGCGTATTGTTTAAAAAAAAAAAGCCTTTTGGCACGTTAGGGAATAAAACCTAATGAACCGACTATACATTCCGGTAATAGGACCTAACGTGCGGAAAGGCTGAAAAGTTTCTTTAACAATGAAGACTTTGTCGTGGTTATTGAATTTGCATTTAGAAGCCGTCAGTGCTGCCGATGCGCCGTCGGTCCGTGTAGGCATGGAGGTAGCCGTCGCTATGGCGAGCCGCGCCCACCACTGCGGCAAAGCCTGCCGTTTGACCAAGCTCAGTGGTCGCGTGACCTCGGGAACGAAGGGATGTTACTACCGCCTGTAAATTAAACAACCTTCGTTGTAATGATCGATACGAGCGGAAAATTCAGTACTTATGCTATTCCACACAGGTAGGTTCTTAAAACTAAAGATTACTTACAGAATAAATCAAACCGTGTAAGAACTTTACTCGTATCTTTAGGTTTTGCAAAACAATCGTCCATTCCAAACAGTTCAACTATAAGAAAGTTCATTACATCATGATCAGTATGTAGAAATTAAGTAGGTCAACATGGGCGCCGCCGGGATGATTTTCAGGGGGGTGCATCTGTACACATATACTAAGAACCAATATAAAATTAAAGTACTCATGTGGATAAATGCAATGTCAAATATATTCTTTGTATATTTAAATGCTTACTTTTTTATATTTTCAACATATTAATTGCTATAAAAATATTTTTTTACTGCTCAAAATTCTAAGTCACATGAGCAGATGGACCATCTGATGTTAAGTGGACACCGTCGCCTATGGAAATAAGCAATGCCATTGACACAGTCATGTCGATGCCTTTCATAGAACACTCTTATTCAGCCTCCCTTGAAGAGAACCATGATAAAGTACTGAGCGAACACCGTGTAGAGCTCATTATATAATTTTATTGGCCGTGGAATAAAAGATCTCAGGAAACGAACAGTTGTGGACTTCAGTGTTCCCAGGTAATATGAGTGAATACGACTCCGATGACGGGTGTTGCAGTAAAATGGTGCTTTGTATATTAACTGGAACAATGTCTCGGTCAAGTGGTCCAAAAAGTTTCACTTGCAAAGCCTCTCAGGTAGTCCATAAGTTGACAACTTCGATTAAAGCGTTCTATGCCAGACCCTGTCAAACGCCTGGCGATATCCAAGCTCACCCTTACTTTTGATGGTTTCAGCCCAGTGGCCCAACGGTGAGTGAGATAAACGAGAGGATCACCAGCTGAACGACCGTGAAGGAAACCGTTTTGTCGGTCAGGGATACATGGGCCTGTAGTTTGAAGGGTCAGATTGGTCACCCTTTTTGAGAATAGGGTGAACGTGAGCTACTTTCACGAATTGGAACAGAGTTATGTTTTTAGGAAAGGCGATACAAGGCGTCAAGACGAGGGTTAACTCGAGGGTGCATATTTTGAGTAACACTATAGGGATGTCACAGGTCCATATGACTCGTGATTGACCCCTGGGTGGTGCGGATTTCTGGCAAAGAACTTCAACGGGAATTATTAAACGGAGTAGCTTACAATCTCGTTTACATAGCAGCAAAATAGAAACCCGACAAGTTACCTTCCGCAGCTCTGGCAAGCGACCAAAATGCAGAGCTCCCGGAGGGGAAACCATTAGCTTTTGACCTATTGTCCCGATATGTGGTGCCGCCGCTCTCTCCTTTCACTCATTCTTGCTTTCTTGTGGAGCCTAGAAGTGGCATTAATTTTTCTTCTTCTTAATTTCGGAGCCAGGACATTTTAGTCGAATGCTATGAATTGTAGCCGACTATTTAGCAATCGCAAGTCGCTACGTCTACACTGACCTTATTGAACCAAAGGCGGTTGTGACCACCGACGGTTATTTTATAGTTGGGAATGCAGAAACCCACCCCCATAAGTACCAGGTTATTTACACAATTGAACATGCGTCAGAGACATTGGAGGAAAAGTGGAGTCGCTTTCACAGGTAGGATACAAAGAACTCAAGAAAACCATCCCAATAAGCCAACTTATATTGCCAAACTCTGCGAGAAGCATTAACTGGTGAGCGTATGGGACACGAAATAGAACTATAGAATGTAGAACTCTAGAACGAACGAAGCAATGATCAGACGATCCTAATGGGACATCGACTACAATCTTGTATCGTTTAAAGCAGATATAACAGGGATGGTTCATAGCTCTCAATATCTAGGAGGCGAATAGGCTGCGACACCAATTTGGGAAAGGAGAATAACCATTTTTTTGACCCTGTACAAGTACATGAGAACCTAGTTGTAATTCTGCTAATGGAGAACGTAAAAACATGAAAATTTTATATACCTACTTTGTTTCATATATTTTTTATATTTTTATTGCACAATTTTTTAAACAGATCGTTTCATGTTATCGTGCGTGCACACTGTACGCAATATACGCATCGTGCACAGAATTTTAATTAAGTTTTACGTCATGCCTTATTCACACAAAGGTTTATCGGTTATTTTGTAAACATAAGTATTTCTTCGCATTTCAAATTTAGAGTGCGACCAAGACTTGGCCATGGGGCTTTTGATATGACATTGACAGGCGGGCGCTGCTGGTCAAATGAGGTGGTGAAATGAGGATTACTAATTGAGTAAAGAGAACGTTATAATTTGCAAGAACTTGGAAAGAGTAATAGGAAATATATTTTTGTTTCCATTGCGGGCTTGGCAAAGATTGATACAACGCCTGCATTATTAACAGACCAAGAAATAGTTATCATTACATAGATCTAGTACCAACAATGTCAATGCCAATTTTGGCATTCAATACGGAAACTATAGTAAAAAAAAACGAGCCAGCCTTACAGTAGTCGCGTATCATGTGTAACATTTGAAACCTCACCATAGATAAGTAAAAAAAGAAATAAAACCTACTACAAAAGGAATAAGCCATTTCAACATTATGTCCTAAAAATCAAATCAAATTCTTCTTCGATCGACTTCCTGTTACACACTTCCGTCCTATTTCACGAAATCAGTCCCACAAATTGCAGGAAAGCGAGAGGAAAGATGTTACAAATCAAAAATACGATTTGCTAACTCATCACCTGCATATTTGCAAAGCTGTTTTAGGCAACTGTATCTGCACGGAAATGTTAGCAGCTGGCATATTCTATCTTTAACTTTTACTCAAGGACCACCATGGGAGACTTTTTTACATAAACATAAGCTGCAATCTTCTATGTATTACTATTTGGGTAATGAAAGTTACTTACTTCATCGAAGTTGTGCTCGTATTCTATCTCCATGGGTATCAGCTGATGGTGGAGTCTCGGTCGGTCCATGGCGTGGCGTAAATCTCCACTTTCCAGTATCACGTTTCTTACAACCTGTCGAATTGGTATTATAAATAAAATACAAACGTATTTATTTATATTCTTCATGCACAAATGTACAACAGCGGACTTAATTCCGTAGGCATTCTCTACTAGTATAGGGTGTTGTGGAGATTTTAGTAATAGGGTGTACAACTGAGGTGGAGATAACATTTAAAGAAATGTGAATAGTAGTAATAATAAATATAATTATATAACAATGATATATATTAGTTAATATACATAAATAACATAACTAAACATATACATACACATAAATATATACATACTTTATACAATACACACATGACGACAATCTACATAAAGAAACGCCTGTTCTAGTAAAAAGCTTTGCAGCTTGGTTTTAAAGGTATGGTTGTTGGGGGACATTCTAATATCTAGCGAGAGTTCATTCCACAAAAGTATAGTTTTGACGAAGAAGGAAGAGTGAATGATATCGGAGCTGTAAGATGGTACGACTAGTAAATGATTGGAAGAAAATCGTAGATTTTTGGTATGAGAGTACATAAGTACTGAAACTGAGAAATGAGATAAGGGCCCATTTGGAGAATCCAGCAAAGAGAACAAAGTGGTCTAAGCCCGCATACATCGGCGCTGCCTAATGGGAATCCATTTTAAGAGAGATCGGTATGCGGGGACACATGGTCATATTTGCTAAGATTAAAAACAAATTGAATGCAGTTATTCTGAAATTGATTAAGTTTGTTGAGTAGATATGCATTCAGGTCGAGGTAGCACATATCACCGATCGATTATGGGAAATATTAAGGTTTGCACAAGCATTTCCTTGATATTGACCGTCAAATATTTTTTCAGGCGATTAAGAGCACGCAGTGTTCCTGTTACTTTTTTACGGATGCATACAACCCTAGGTGTTTTACGACATTGCTAACGGGATTGGAGTGCCGTCATAGATGGAACCAACACTACCGTTATTAATTTTGCTTATCGCTCTCGAACCACCTAATAAAAATGGCTTGGCATTTTGAAGCATTGGCAATGACACCGACATTGTTGAAGCATGTTTTAATATAGCGACTAAATCCCTGTTTAGAGCATCAATGGCTTCGTTTAAGTTGTCAATACTTGTCTCAGTATAATTGTAAATTGTCAGCATATAGCTGATGAAGTATATTATATATATACATTCCTTTCTTTTCACTAACTTTTATTCCCGCAACCCTACCAGCGGTAAAAGATTCCTATAGTATTGTTTTTATTACTAGAAAATTATACGGTTTTTTGTTCAATTACTTACTTCCCACTACCCAATCGCGCGGTACAAGCATCCTAGTATTTTTTTATGACTAGAAATGATATGGTTGTTCAAGTAATACCTAAGTAAGTGATTAGTTATAGAGAAAAAGAAATTAGTTTTCGTCATACAAAGATCTATCAATTTTTCAGAAGCAATCGGGTGTTTGTCATGTGTTGGAGCTTAGCGGCTGGAGACTCGGCGCCAACATGACTGTGAAGTGATCTTAGTAAGTTTACTAAATAGGTATTTATTCGGTGGAAAGAATATACTTACTAGTGAGTCTTGTGTGGTGATCTTAGTGCTTCCCGCAGCGCCGATGACTAGGATTGGCTGGTTGTTACGTAGCGCGATATTCGGCGTCATAGAGCTTAGAGGCTGCAGTTCTGGTGCCAGTATGATTTGTAAGGTGACCTTAGTATAAAGCTTACTCCTCGAGAAGAAAGAAATACCCTTACCAGTGAGACTTGCGTGGTGATCTTAGTGCCTCCCGCGGCGCCGATGACAAGAACTGGCTGGTTGTTACGCAGCACGATACTCGGGGTCATGGAGCTTAGAGGCTGCAGCCCCGGTGCTAGCATGTTGGCCGGCGACGGCGGCATACCGTACGCTGACTCGCGGTTCGGTATCGCGAAGTCGTCCATTTCGTTGTTGAGCATAAAGCCCAAAGACCGCGATCGTCTTTGGGAACCCCATCTAATAAAAGAAAACAATCATTATATAGTCCGTTTAAAACCGTTTTGAGAGCGAATGGAAAGTAAAAAAATGGGTGCGTGTACTTATGTAGGCGCGTGAGAAGTTATCCTTCTTTGGCATCGTTTAAAATTAGTTTTTAATTGCATGCAAATAATTAATTACAATAAATTAATAAAAAGTCTGGAAAAGGACACAGTCAATAAAGTTCAGTTTTAATTTGAAAAAATAAATAAATAATCAAAATATTCAATTAAAATCACTACTGAATATAATTTATTAGAACATATGTGATTTGCACTTGTATGAAACTCAAACACGTATTCCGAATATACAAACTAGAAACATGTGGATAAATATTATAAATATGAATACCTATAACTGTTACTTTATTACAAAAAATAAAGATGTGGTTTTTGGTTCTACTACACCAATGGTCAAGAGATGGCGCTGTAGTCTTCTGAATCGCGCTTTGGTTCCGTTGTTCCAGATTAATAAATACTTTTGATAGGCCTTCACAATGCAGTCGTTAGCACCCACTAAATAGAGATTCTATTTCTATTTTGTTGGTAGATTTTCTTAATGTGCGGTAAACACAAAAGTAACGCATGAAGTTGGTCGCTAAAGCGACCAACTTCATGCTGTTAAAATTTTGTGTTACAGTGATGCGCGCGCATCTTAAAATTTTTCATAACGCGCCTAAAGAAGTATAACTTCAAAAATCGATAAAGCTTACGAATTCCCAAATAACTTCCCGAAATAACTTGGCTTTAAACCGTCTGAAGTTTGATTCCTCAGAACAGAGAAAGATGTTAGACAAGGAGTGCTCAGTTCATTTTCCGTGTTCTGTGCGGTCGCACCGCTCCTGTACCGCCTCAGAATTCCACTATTTGCTTGTACACATTATGAAGGTAGTGGAACTTAAATGTAAGTGGTGGTACTAGTGGCTGACGCGGCACTGCCGTCGAGCGCGATCAAAACCAGGTGCGCGGTGCCGTGGTCGTCGGCGCCCCCAAACAGTGTGGTGTAGTGCCGCCAGCATTTTCATGACTATTTGGTACAGACATGAAGCTGGTGGTGCTGGTGACAGACGTGGCGCTGCCGTCGGGCACGATAACCACCAGGTGCGCAGTGCCGTGGTCGTCAGCGCCCTCGAACAGAGCGCTTTAGTGCCGCCAGCATTCCTATGTCTATGTGGTACATACATGTAATTGATGGTGCTGGTGACAGACGCAGCGCTGCCATCGGGCGCGATCACCACCAGGTGCGCGGTGCCGTGGTCGTCGGCACCCTCGAACAGAGCGCCATAGTGTTGCCAGTCCTGGTACGTCTTGCGGTCGTCTACTAGCCTGCGGAAGTCTTGTGCCCAACTCGGCTTCGACAGGTTACGTTGTAGCTGATTAAGAAACAAACATCATAATCATCAGTCCTACTATTGCTTCCTTAGCTAGAATGTGGATGAAAACGAACGGAACACCGAAGGAAAGGGCTTTTAAGTTTTAGCCAAATATAGTACTGCGTGTTTTTGTGTAATGGTAGATTGTGTTGCCCATGACATCGTCATCATTCCACTAAATTGCGATGAGGAAATCAAGTGTGGCGCCGGGTGTGGAATATGCACGGAGGCGAAGCATTCCTATTATTCGGGCATAAAAAATAATAACCAAGCGGGCACTACTAGGTGGCAGATCCTTAAATATTTTGATTAGGATTTAGAATAATAAGTCATATAGTACGAATGTAACACAATACCTCCTGAATCCGTTCGCCCAAATTAGAGCGTGAAGGGTCCCCGAGTCCGGTTCTCTGCCCGTAGGCGTACTTGAAGGTTTCCACGACGCGATGCCAATAAAGGTTGGTGCCCGACTTCACGTCGCTGCCGTCGCCGACCCACCCTCGGAGCATGTTCAATATGAACGCCAGCACCGAGCCGGAGCCCGGCAGCGGCACCGAGTAAAGCGTGTGCTCGTCCGTTAGGGGCACCTCTATCGGGTCGCTCCACTCCGCCCTTGATTACGAGAAACAAAAAAATAGAAAATTTCTTTTGGAAGAAACACAAAGCAACACCATAATTTCGAACGTGGTTTCTATTAAAATAACAAAACACAGTAGCGAACAAAGACATTGAATGAACAACACTCGCAAAAAATTAACAACTCTCTAGTCTCCCGAGAAAGAAGCGATATGCTAAAGCGATGGTGGAGTCCATAGATATACGAGTACGAGCCGCATGTCCGCTTCGTCTCTTCCACAGTTATCGGACTAGTATATTCTTTTTACAGTTGGACAGGAATGCTCAGTCAATTATTATCTATCTAGGTAGCAAATTATAAGTGACGCATCTTGACCATAAGATGATCGATGATCTTAAACAACTACCTTTTAACTTATTATGGAAAACTCAGATGATCATAAACAACAATGAAGCATAAAGTTGTAATTTAGATATTTCAATATTTACATTTTATCAGTGGCAAGACGTGCTAACTTACAAATAAAGTAATGTGCCAGAGTGGATATTTAATATTTTTTTTCCAACACACTCCAATTAGCCTAGCCTCAAAGTGCACTGTAGGCTTGTGTTATGAGATACTAGCGTAACGGATAGAATATATATATGTTTATCGGTAATAAACATATAAGTATATTTATGTAGAAAACCCTTAGATTAAAACAAAAAGGGAAGATACGGTACCTACGCTCATACTAGCATCAAAAATAAAATATATGCTCGGACTCAACTACATACGCAACTCTCACACATGCACAGGTCTGCAAATAAACATTCAATCGAGCGAGCGCCTGTACACCAAGCATGAAACTATATCGAATTCGAATAGTTTGCGAGTCTGAAATGTCATTGTCAAATTTTGTATGGAAACTTGAACAGCAGCGCCACAACGGACGTAACGAGAACTAAAAATCAGTACTCCTTTGACTTCGCACTCGCAAACTATTCGAATTCGATATTGGATCGTGCAAAGGGTATTGTACGCTTTAACGCAGCGCATGCTAAATGGCGAGGCCGCTTCCGAGTCCACACAGCTGAGTTATATTGTTGTCCTTTTCTTGGTAAAAAAATGGCGATTACGAAAATAACATTCACGATAAACCGTGATTTTTGGAAAAAACATTTTTTTACAGTTTCACGAATGAAAAATGTTGCCGAGGCATTTGAAACTTGATTTTGAACTATTTGTGTTCTTTATAAAAGCATCGAAGGCATCGTTTTATTTTTATTACAATGAATATACGCAATATTGTTATATTGAGTGCACATGCAGCGTGTTTGAATGTCCAATTGCGACTAAAGCGAATTGTGGTCATGCACTACAATTTAAGCGGATCACTTTTGAGTCGCGACCCGCGAGTGCCGTATCTACCCTTTTGTTTTAATCTAAGAGAAATACATATAAAGCGTCCATGACTGGAGTACAAATGCTCGTATTCATCACACAAACATCTGCCACCACCAGGATTCGAACCCGGGACCTCTTAAGTAGTCGACACTTTGAAACCCGGCGTATATACCACTCGGCCACGGAGGTCGTCGAATTTACCTGTAGTTCCTCATATCCTCTTCCGTTATGATACCACCGAAGTCTCGGATATCTTGCACGAGTTTCTGCGTAAGGGAGCCGTTGTGTATCGCCTCCGGGCCCTCCCGAGCGATAGTTTCTAAGGTTTCTTCTAGCGCCGGGTTCTTGATAAGGTCGCCTTCGTTCCACACTTCGCCCGTTTCCGGGTTCAGGTAAATTTCTCTAAAGATACAAACATAGTTTACAATAAATACAAAATCAGCAGCAACAAGGTTGTTTGTCAACTAAGTATAGATAAATCGCTGTATAAGCGCTCTTACTTCGTATAAGGTGTTCGCTGTTGTCCTCGGGGCAGTTTTGTTCGTAGCCGAGGTACTCTTAAAGGGGGGGGGGTACGGGGGGTGGGGTGGAAAAAGGGTCACCTAACGTGACTCATGATATGTCGTCACACTTTTTCGTGCGTGCCAGCCGGTGTTCATTGATTTAAGACGTTATCTTTATCACGTCAAAAAAATCTCTTCTCATTACTTTCATTACATGTCTTGGTTATTCAGAGAATTTCACCACCCCGTTACGCTACGCTTTAATAACCTTAATTATTTAGAAGAACACACAAAAAATCCAGAATAGCCATAAGGCTAATAGATTAAGGAAAATAATTTCCTGCAACATTCCTTAAATTTCACTACTCGGTAGAAACTTTTCTCAACATTTCTAATGCATATTCAAAATGTCAGAGGAATACAATTGCAATTTTAAATGTTAGACTAGTGGCAAAACAGGAAAATACAGACCTCATTGACGGCTCGGCCTTGATTCTGTCGCTGTAGGAGCGCAGCACGCGCGCCATGTACGAGTTGACGCGGTGGCCGTTGCGACATAGCTCTATGGCGGGCCGTACCAGCTCGGCCCACGGCAGGCGTCCATACTCCCGATAGAGCTCGCCGTACCCTCGCAGTTCTCCCGGCACTGCTATAGCGAGTCCCCCGACCACCGAGGATGCGTTCGCGAACATGTCCTCTGTAGTCTGCATTGGCGCGCGCTCGCGGGCGTTGAGAGCTCGCACCCTCCTCGACGGCTTGTCGTATACCGTCGCCAGGAAGCCGCCGCCGAGACCCATACATTGTGCACATGAGAGTCCCTCACAAAACAAGGCCGCTATCGCTGCGTCCACCGCGGACCCTTGCTTGTCCAAGATTTGGCTGCAAACGATAATTTTCTTATGAAAATCATGCTCTCTAAGGTTAGATTTTTTTTGTACTGCAGTTCAAACTTCAATCACAGAGAGAACAAATTATTGTGTGATGAGTACATGCATTCTTCTACCTGTCATAGATGTTTATAGTGTGATGTGACTCAAAAACGAGTCATCTACCTACGTTGGATGCGGGATGGTGGGGGAGGAGTCCCACATATAACCTAGTCTCTCACCGGAGGCGTGGTATGCTTCACACATATTCCTAAGATAAAAGACCCACCGTCCGATGGCAGCGCACTCGTAGCCATTGGCGGCGACAGTAGCGTGCAAGTAGCCTGGTTGATGTACTCCTGCCCACGGCTGCAGCACCAGCAGTGCCACTAGCGCGCCTATCACCAACGCCGCCAATACGCTGGCCAAGATGAACCGACGCGACTTCCAAATCCTAGGAAAAAAAAGTATTTTTAATTCAATTCATTGTCTCCGTGAGTGCCAAGAAGAAACGAGGCGACTTCCAATCTTGACAAAAAGTACTCATCTATATATTTAAAAATGAATCGTCGAAAAGTATATATGCGTATCACGTCTGAACAAATTGGATAATTCTTTTTTTATTGTGTTCGTTATTGCCAGTACAAGGTTTGTAAAAATTAAAATTTTCAAAAAGCCACGGAAAAAATTATGCTATAAATATTCTTAAAATAAAGTATGGTTTTCCGCCATATTCCGCAATCGACAACTAACGTCACGGCACGCATGAGTTAACTGACCTTATTTGTTTGGTATTCACTCAAAATAAGTGATAAACTACATTTATAAAGAAATATAACAAAATCACAGGAAAATAGCATACACAAATCAAAAGCGAAATGCTATATTTTGGCAAGGATACAGGAGGAATACGATAAGTAATAATATCATAGTTTTTTTAAACATGACAAATATTAATGACTGCATTTGATTTCCAAAAAATAAAACTACTCTTTAATTTCCCAGTAAGTCGTGAGAGTCGACTAAGGGATTGACTGTGTTTGGAGAATATTGGGTAAGGACCTGAGACATTGTTAATGTGAAATCTGACATTGGTGTAGCAGTTTATTCTTCTGAAATATAGGCCATGTAGTTTATTTTTGATTTGTACATACACAGATTCAAGTGTTTCGGGACAGAGTGATTTTACTATCTAAAGATTTCTTTTTGTAAGAGAAAAAAAGGGCTTGCCTCTATTAATCAAAATTTCTAGCGCCATCAGTGAAATAAATATGAGAGTTACATTGCTGAACGTTCAATGTACAGGAGTTTTCTATAAACAATTACTAGCTATGGCAGTGTTGCCAACTCGGATTTTGAAAAAGACGTAGGCCCGATGAGAAAATTACGTAGAATTGGTATATTTTGCATATGAAAAGTAAGTAGATCTACGTACTTTTTTCTGAGTGAAATGAAGAAGTTATTTGAAACCGAATAAAACGAGTATTTTGTTATAAAATTTGTTTAAGAACGGGAGATAGAACAAAGAGACCTTGGAGAAGTTTTTGCATTGGAAATTTGGAAGCATTTACCATGCTGTGGTAAACATTTGCCATCAGACACAGACACTGGTGGGTGCCGATTCTGGATGGTTCTCTAAATTTAAAACTTAATTTAACATCAGTCTCTTCTCTCTGTATAGAGAATGACAAGGATAAACTGTTGTTAAATGGGCTAGTTGACAGTTTTTGGAATTATGTTTTAAATTGTTAATAATTGTTCTATCAGAACGAAAAAACTTTTTTTTTTACCTAGAAGACATACAAAAACGCTCTTTAGTCTATAGACTTATCTATGCTATGACGTCAAAACATTTGTAAACAAACACTCGCAAGCACGTAGGAAATAAACAGCTAAGTTAATATTATAAAACCATGATTTCTAATAGATCACATGAAAAATTATATTTTTATTTTAAATTATACTACTATGTAGTTATCATGATACACTTGGTAAAAAACTCTAGAAAAGTTGTGGTTTAAATTGCCAAGAGAAAAAACATACTTACACATGAACATATGCTTAAAACTTGCTAAATCCTGTAACTTTATCGACTGAAAGTCTTTTCTTTTTGCAAAGATCAATTCCATGTGAGTAGGTACTCATAGATAGTAGTAAAAGTTTAAAAATACAATTTTTAAGGTTATGAATGTACCTACTAAGTCAAAGAGTTTTGTCGTTTCTGCTTTCACAAATCCTGCGTCCAGCATTAATTTAGTCAACAAAACCAATAACGGGAACCTTTTCTACAAGATACAAGAGTGTTTAGATACATCTTTATAAGAAATAAACATTTGTATAGTTTTTAAGTAAAGTAACGGAAAATATTCTTCTTTATTCTAGTGAATTAAGTTATTTTACAAATTTGAAAAAAAATAAGAAAATACGTAGATTCTGGGACTGAAGTTAGTAGGTTTCCAGAAAAGGCCTAAAATACGTAGATCTACGTAAAAATACGTAGAGTTGGCAACACTGAGCTATGGTAAAAGCTCAGTTCCTTTCGAACGGATTGCTTTCATTTCCACCTAATTATTGCAAGCGGTACTAAGTACCCGGGTTAACTAGTAAAATATATTTGTCTCTCGGACTCCGTAGAGATTGCAGACAACGCCGGATTTCGATAACTGTGTTTGTATATAAGCAGAAGCACCGTGCAAGCGGGCAAGGCCTGGCTGGTGTGGCAGTTAAAACAGCTACAACAGCTATTTCCGCCTCTGTATTGCACCTTCTCTCTGTCGTACTGGAGATTGATTATTATTGAAACTGGTCTCTCACTCTCTTACTGGTGTTTAATTATTGAAGATAGATTGAGTTACTTTTGCATTATTAATTTGAGTAAGAATAAATATTCTACAGTTTAAGGCTGTAAAAGTCAGGATACAATGAAGATAGGCAAAGTCTTGTTAATACTGAAAAAGAACGATTTTTATATGGATTGACCCAGCCCAAAATTCACTTACTAAGTTACAAACAAGGTTGCGGACGCGGGTGCTGACGCGTCCGTTAGCTGTTCACAAAAATGCCCATTATATTTATTACTACATCCACACAATATAATTTAGAAATATTTGGAATAAAGATGTTTTCTTTTTTACACAAACGCAAACTTATGTCAACAACGTATCTGTCATTGTTACATCGTTTGTATCTTTTCTATAGAGGGTGAAATAATTGTGAGTAACGAAAGAACAGGTTTTATTCAAAAGAAAATTTAATTAAAAAAAGGGACAAGTGTGAGCTGGGCTCACCTACCGAGGGTTCCGTACAAATTTGAAGGCACGCATCATAAAGGGCAGTATCTTTTTCCGTTAATTTAGAAGTTTGATTTTTTTACAACTTTAAGGGGCTGTAGAACCTAGTACCTATATACTACTGCGAAACGGCAAAGATTTTTAATTGAATATAATTGAAAACATTCCACTGCCTTCGGAATAATAGACGCCCGTTATAGCAATCAAAATAAACCAAATTCGGGGAAGGCTCGATGGGAACACCGCAGGCCTATTACGTAAGCGAAAGCAACTTGCGACTGTAACGCCACTGAATTTGATATTTCGCTTTTTGAACAAAAACTTGATCAGTCTTAACATTTACTGTGGTTCAGAATAGTTGTAGGTATGGGTACTATTTTTAATTTTAAATAATTTTAGAGGAATCAAAATCTTTTCTCCAAGCGATTCTGTAGCAAATCAGTTGCGTATCGCAGCTGTAGTCATTACAATTCATTACTTATTTAAGCACTATGCGGGATTCGCAGAGAATTAAAGGATAACGATATGGGACAGATATAATTTAAACAACAATATTAACATTTATAATAATTAACATGTTACGTTACGACTAATCATACTGTGGCTAATCACCAAATAATGAAAATATTGTCAGCGTAACTTATTGTCAAAAAAACTTGTCAAAATTCCGATTTACACCCTAATGAATGAGACATTGTATTGCAAATTTAGTAAATCTGTGCGTGTTATTGTCTAATTCTTTTTGGTATTGTGTCTTTACAATGGGTAATGTAAAATATTAAATAATACGAAACATTCAACGAAATTGATTTCCATACTGAATTAGGTAAGCATCCGTGTCTTGGTTGTGATGTCATATTGGTCTACAATGCTACAGCTTTATTTGCACGTACACACCTTAATTAAACCTTAATTATAAATAAAACCGGCCAAGTCCGAGTCGGACTCAGGCACAAAAGGTTTCGTATAATTATCTATACAATGTTAGACACTATATTATACTAGAGCCCCTCTTAAACATTTATTTAAAATATAATTATTTATTTTTTACCAAATACACAAATAAATATTTTCTATAACAAAATTTTACTAGAATAAATTCCACGCGGACCAGGCAGCAGATGGGACTCGAACCCGCACCCTTCGCTATCCGGGCGACTGCATTGCTCATTATACTACCTGATAAAAATATAAGTATAACTTTAACTGCTATTTTTTCTTTCAAATGTTTAATACTTGTAAAGGTATTTATTTGACATAACCTACAATGCGAAAAAGATGGCGCTGCTTTGCCTCCTAAGAAATACTAGAGAAAATTCGACACGTCCATCAGGGCCGTGGTAGCATATTGTCCGTGCATTCGTCCGGATAGGGAAGGGTGCGGGTTCGAGTCCCGCCTGCTGCCTTGTCCACGTGAATCTTTTTCTAGTAAAATTTTCTTTAGATTTAGACAAAAACCAGTAAAATGATTAAAAAAAAAAGTTTTCATCCCGTTATTGAAGCTACTTAATAAATAGTTCGTTTCCGAGCTAGACATCGCAACATTCAGCTCCATTTTCATGTATGGGGGACACCCCATATTCGGCTTTGGGCAAGAATTCTTCATAAAATACTAAAATTTCAGTTATGTTACTCATTCCGTTTACGATTAAGAGACCATCGATATACGGGCAAACAGACAACAGAGTGACATTAATAGGGTTCTATGGGTTCTATTTTTACCCTTTAGGTATACGGAACCCCACAAGGAGCTTTAAGGTAGTATGCTACGTGGATTTTCATACTAAAACGACTAGTATGAAAATCCTCGCCTGTTAAGCACTGTGAAACCATATAAGATTCACGGACCACGTTCAATTACACGAAAAAGCTCAGCAAAGTACTTTTTTAACAGACTTCAAAAATGAGGAGGTTCTCCTTTCACCCATATACCTAATTTTGAAGTGAAAACTTCTTTAGCGGCGTTGTACACTTTTTTTTGTATGGGTAAAAAATGTTAAACTAGCGTCAGGTTAAACACGTGGGCTGATCGCATCATGACACACAATAAAATTGGAAAAATTGTTGACTTTCAATATATATATATATATTGGACGAAATATAGTAATATTTTATTTTATCGTATTATAATAATAAGTCTCTATCTAGGACGTCCAAGTGGCAG